AAAGCCCCTACAGGTATGAAATGTTTACTGCTCCTATTGGAATTGGAGGTCACTGATTGTTTCCACTGCTGCAAACAATCAGAGATGTCCTCAAAGACCTCAAGAATGACACCTCCCTGTTTTGCTGACTTCTTCAATCCTACCATGCCCGGATCAAGGTGGTTTTGGAAGCGCGAGGAGAACACACCAACTATTAAAATATGTGACCTAGAATAGTCTATGGATGTGCTTTTCAATGGTATATCATACATATGTGCAGCATTATTGGTTTTGACTGTGGACAGGGGTTCTATCAATATGGGACACCCTGTATAAGGCAACCAGACATCCCAATTTAGGCAGGATGTTCCACTTGCAGACCATCCGTCCCTGTGTCACCCAATGAACAAAGCAGTTATAAAACAAAATCTAATTCATGTTTTTTCAATAAGTGTAATTGTCAGAGCAACTAATACATTCATATTCTTTTTGGGGGGGCAAGAGAAGTATTTATTGGGTGTCCCACTTCAGGATATAAAATTCTGGACACCTAGATGTATGTGGGTGCATGACTTCAGTTATCAATGATGCATGGATGAATGAAAGGACTGCTGTGCAAATAATGCATGGGAAGGCCTGTAGGCACAAGAGGTACTCTTTTGAAACCTTCTGACACAAAAATGAAGTAAACCATCTCATTCCCTAAGCCTAAGCCAACAAGTTGGGATGAGGCAAAGATGATGTAGGAACGAGTGTGAAAAACAGTAATAGGGTGCCCCAAAGTTGTAAAATGCCTCATTAAACAGCCCAGGCTATGCCAACTATGACACTTCAACCTTCAGCTTTCCATTGAAGAATAACTTCTGCACTTCACATAATTTTCTTTTTTCAACATATGGCAATATGTGGAATTCAGGATTCTTTCCGTGATTGGGTTAAATCCAGTTTTGATTAAATCACTAAGAAAATAGAAAACCTACTCAATCATTACATTTGACTGAATGGATTTTTTTAGTCTACTTTTTTAAATCAGAAACTGAGATGATCTGTATCAATCATCAAGACAAGGTGGCAATGAAGATAGTATTTTGAAATACTTCTTTTCAGTAAAACTTCAGTATCAGGTAGATCAGATGAAGCTCAGAAGTGAAGATCACTTGTTGGTATTGGACATAGCAGATGAAACAGCATCAGAAATCTTCCAAATTTTTCCTATTAGTCATCCTGACAAAAAACTCTGTAATTTAAAGCTTTGAAAATCATGAGGCCATTAAGGATATTTCATATGTGCCATTTCACCTTATCCAGGGAAACTAAATGTTATTCCACCCAAAATACTGAGATACATCAGGGCCTAGAGATTTTTGAGGCAAAGAATGAAAAAAACACAAAAGACACCAATTTAGCAAAAACACTTACTGCAAGCAAAGTTTGAAAGAATGTAGTTTTACAGCATCTGCAAAACAGCACCCATACCTCCTTTTTTTCTATTTGCTCACTCTAGAATCTTGGGTTACTGGTAGTACAATAGGATTCTTGTCTTACTGTGCACTCCAATTTGCAACCATAAATGAGCCTTATGATCTCTGATACAATGGAGGCACAGAAAGTGTTTGCCAGAGCAAGAAGACTCGGTTATGAGAAGGAAAGAGGATGGGAAAGTGTGCCATACTAAATGCATACCATGCATTCAAAACATGCAAGACAAACTCATCCAAACTGAGAACCATTACGATAGCATTATCAATGCAATGAAAAACAAAAGCAACAATGAAAAAATTACTTCTTCTTGTCAAAGTAAAAGCAACAGCAAATGAAAGAATTTGAATGAAACATTAAGATACTTGCAAGCATTTTAAAATCCTTTCATCCTATGCTGGTTTAGGCAAAACTCAACGAATGAGTATTCCAGAAAAAGATTTCCAATAATGAACATGCAGGATTTAAAGCTCATAGAAAGGCATTCAGATCAGCAAAAGCAAAATGCAGGAGGGGAATCACAGCATGAATAAGAAAACCTGCCTCAATAGGGAGCTTCTTCTCCGACTACAAGCAGAACATGAGGGCAAGGAAGAGAAAAAGAAAAATTAGTATTGAGCATTTCCAAAACTTTCTAACAAGTAGTCTACTTAACATCATTATATACATCCATCCAATGACATGTTTACCGAAATCATAAGAGATCCAGGGATGGAACACTGCAAAACATCCAACATTTCAGATATCACTAGTTTTTTCATGGGAGATGCTGTAGAAATAGCACTACCATTTCAAAAACCTATCATATTTGACTTAAAGTAAATATATTTCCCTTTTTGAATCTTCTAACATCATTCTCCTTTCATGAAGTAACATTCTTGACTACACATATTAACACTTTGAGATTAATCCTGCATCATACCTATCACACCTATGCTGAGACTATAAAATAAGTAGGTTTGCTTTACATATTCCAATTGCATAACTCATTAAGAAGGTTTTCTGAAAGTTTGAATAAATTATTGTTAAATTTGACAACTTCATTACTATTTTGAAAAGTTGATGCAACTCTCCACCTTTTCACAGGAAAGTGCTTGACCATCGGAGTTAAGAGTCACTTTCTGAGATCACCCTGGGTGTAATGCATGCGGTCAGATTGTCCTCATATTTTAAAATAGGAGTATCCTCATTAACCTGGAGGAGACACCAAGTTAATGATGAACTTTTAGTGCAATCAAGTTCAGCGAAATAAGTTGATCAGGGGTTAGACCAACAGTCAATGTCACTCCATCTTAACATGGTAAATTTGCATGCCTCCACATTAATTTTAGTTCCTGAAACTAAGTACCTGTTCCCATATCCTTATAGTCATGATATAAATATGCTCAATCAATTTCTTGGCAAATCCTTGAAAAAAAATTATTTCACATGAAAAGAGGAAAATTGTAATTTTACCAAATTTTCCTAACATTTTTCAAAGAAATACCATCATGGAACCTATGCAATATGAAAGTAATCCTTGAGTATCACCCATTAGGTATGATTTTTTCTTTGCCAAGTTGTGGGAAACTAGAGAACCAAAGCAGTGATGTTGACTGAAATTGCAATAGAGCCCATTTGCAATGTTAAATGTCCTAAATATTAGCTAAAAATTTTAAAAATAAATTAACTTCATAGTGGCAAACTTAGCATGCCATTTCACACAATCATCAAGTTATTTGGGTAGTGTACTTATTTTCAAGAATTTAGAACATGCAGAAAAGAGAATTCCATTTTAAAAAATTCATGCATATTCTCTTGCATTAGTAACCTTTCAGGAATTTTTTATTATTAAGAAAAACAGCTGGAAACATTCAGTGGTCCAGTTGCTTTGGCTATTTTAAGATCTCAAAACTCAACTCACATTAGCAATCAGTCAATGCCAATTTACTGACTTTTACTGCAATATTTTGCTGAACCAAATTGCAACAGTGTGTTCATAACGTACAAGATTTCCTCTAAAATCAGAAAGTTTCTGGTAAAAAAAAAAATTATTAGAAAAACATGTGACACTAAGCATGACACCCTGGGCAAACCTAGGTTATATTCTCAAGAGTGACTTTTAATACCTTGATCCAAAAGAAATGCTCCATCATTTCCCTATGACGAAAAAAAAAGATTATAGTTATGCTTCAAGTTAAACAGCTGCCAATTTTTTCAGGCTTTCACTATTTAACCTTCTCCCCTGTCAAGGACAAGAAAGCTCATCTTTGGAAAGAGTAGTTGTGTCATCCAAGAGGATAATTGTTTATGGGGATATCTCATGGCTTCACTATAAAAAAAAGTCAAATTCTTAACAAGTGATACCTCACATGTGTAAGCACTTACTTTAACTTCATACTATTGAGGATGCTCCAGAAAAAGAAAAGTGTGATTTACAAATTTCCTTAGTTTTGTGAAGTCCCTCAGAGAAACATGAAAATACAAAGTGAAGCTCAAATACAATGGACATTTCAGGTATTTGAAGTGATGAAGGAGAGGGGCCAGGAAACTTAAATTTGTTTGGAGAGGGTATCAGCAAAAAAGAAGAAAGTTCCATGTATGGCAGAGGCAATCTTTTCACTTCCCCTCTTATGAGATTTGATTGTTGAAAGGAAAATGATGGAGTCTTTTTTTTTGCAAACACAAAATATTCACTAGCAGGTAGAACCCCACAACTCAGCAAATCACTATCAAAATTTGCTGTTAAAGATTTGAATGACAACTTGCCTGCAGGCATGACTACGACCAAGACAAATATGTTTGATATCCATCTAAACAGCATGGCATGCAAAGCAAGACTACTGTGCCAGGAGAGGATTAACTTCCAAGAACATCTAGGTAATGAGTAAAACAATTTTAATAGACAGATGATTTCAAATTTGATGTTCTTTCACTGACCCAAGAGAGAATCTACTCAGGACATCATTCCTCCCCATGAGCATACTACCCACTATCTGCTTTACATTTTTCAACTGAGATGAAACCACTGTGGGTGCACTTGCCACTGAAGCCACTCCAGAGCCACTCTACAGAGATAGAGGTATCCATTTCTCAATCATCTGATATCTCTCAAGGGATCAGGGAGGAAATGAACTAGTCTAGGTGTAGTTTAACCAAGGAGATTGTTTCATGGCCGAGTCCTCAGAAGAACTAACCCAACAATGTGTCCCAAAGTACTATGCCTGGTAGATAATGCCAGAAAACTCTGTACAAAGTAAAGGAATACCATGTAGTGCTTTTTTCAAGATATCCACTAAAAAAAAAAAAGGCCCCAGGAAACTTATCTATAAGCTGCCATCCCTAAAAAATGGAGAAAGCACCATACAAGAGGGCTCTGGGGTGGCTCCACTGATGCATAGTTGGGTATATTACCAGCTCACAACTCCATCATGCTACTCCACTAAAGAAAGCTTCAGAGATGTAGCATAAGAAAGCAGATCCTGGCCAAGCCAGACTTACACCCTGTGCCCAGAGAACACCAACTGCATGAAGGGGTACAAGAGAGAATTTCTGTACATTACCTATGCCAATACCTTTTAAATTTCTGCAGACCGTATTTAGAGTCTGTGGAACCCTTGGAAACAGGCAATGACTCTAAATTAGCCATGAGGAGGTTGATGGAAGATTTGCACTCCTCTATGTATAAGGACTCCATCTCTTTCAGGACAAACCGAGGCATGAGTTTCCGATTCTGTATAGAGAGAGAGAGAGAGGTGAGGTCCGAATATTAAGTCTCCAGATTGAACTCCAAAGCAATGCCCAGCAAACCAATACAAACTGAATATCACAACTCCAGAAATTTTGAAACTTACTCGCTCCATTTCAGCCACACGCTGCAGTCTACCATCAAGTTCTCTTCTAATAGCAGCTGCTTGCTCGTCAGCAGAGTCCAGCTGAAGTTTATCAGGAAAACAATACATTTAAAAGTCTATAAATTGATATCAGAGCAAACTAACCTCATTATGGCATGAAACTGACCTGCAAGGCGTTGAAAAGAAGTTGATGTTCAAATTTCTTTATGCCTAGCACCTGTTGGAACATGTCATAGAGCTGCTCTTTTGACAATATCAATTCACTGTTCAGGTTCTGCTGAACACGACCTGTTTTCCGCTGGTCTTCCTCCACTGGGAATGAATTTGGAATAAGTTCATTTGACAATGCCCTTCACATTCCAATTCTCTAGTGGTGGCATCAAATGAATTTACATCTATGGGGGGGACAGGGGATCATGATAAAATTCAGTCATAAACTGATTTGTAATACTTGTGTATATTTCACTGTCCTACCAGAATAAAATGAACATCCCTGAGAGTGAATAAACTTTAAGCTACTAATCTGTGATACAATTACAATCCAAAGGACCACATATATTATTGTCTGTTTCAGTTAATCTAAGAAATTGAAAAATAATTTTAAAAATACTTTTTTTTCCTTTGTTTTTGCTTGTCCCTTACTATCCCCATAAATGCATATATCCTATCAATTTTGCTTGTGTTTTCAGATTCAAAATTTGTTTGTGCATTATGGAGACAGAGTAGAAAGAATGCAAGCCTACACTTATTTTTGGCTTTGAACAAGAACACAGAATATCATCACCTTCAATGATCACATAAGAAGGGAAAATAGTGTTTTCATGTATATTCCAAAGATAAACAGCATGCTCATCATTGATCAACATCTCCTTCATTTTCTGCAAGCTATTACTCATCTACTTTCCATTGTTCCACTGCAAACTTCTACAAGCATTCCCAGCACTTGGTCCACTCGCTTTCTACAATTTGCTTATTTCTTAAATTGCTTGAGTCAACAATAGCATCTGGTGGCACGTCCTTGGCCACATGCAAAACATATGGTCCTTGGGATTGTAATTGTTTCACAGATTAATAAATTAAAGTTTACCCATTACCAGGAGTGTTCATTTTATTCTGGCAAGGTAGTGTATAATTATAACAAATTTTTCAACAAATCTTGATGAGATTTGATGAGATGAGAGAACATTTTCAATAAATGCAAAAAATATTCTAATAATCCCGAAAAGCTGCAGATTCATCAGAGGCAAAATTAACTAATATTAATATAATTTGATTTAAACTTCAATTACAATTATAATTGTAATTAAGTGATAAGTAAAATTATAAATTGATACCAGAATCTCCCCTCTCACTGATCCAATTGGGTCTGGATAATAATTTATTTCTTTTGTGAATATCAAAGGCTCTGAAGATTGACTGGATGAGCATATGATATGGAAGTATCCACTATGCCCTGATGGTGTTATTTCAAGAATATCCATTTCCTTCACCAGACTTTAAGGTATAAAAAGAAGCAGTTTCAGGAGCAGACAATTCAAGTCCCTTTTTTTTTTATCTAATAAAGTAAATTAAATAAAGACTTAGGATGATCAGCAGCCTTGAAAAAAAAAATTACCAAGAATAAGGAACCATTATTGTGACTAAATGGTAGCATTTGATAAATTGGATCTCAAGCTTACATTCAATGAAATTAAGCAGTAAGGTAAGATATTTGACTTCCCAATGACAGGTCAAAATGACTGATTCACTACATAAGTAAAGCAATCCTGCGAATAGCGACTTCTTCCTCTTCTCTTGATCTTGAATGTTGCAACTTAGGCAAACAGCATCTGGAAGCAATGGAGAGACTTTATTACCAACACCTTTATTCCCTTACCCTTTATGATGGCATCAAACTTGGCCATCCATGAGTTTAGGACGGTATCCTTGTTGAGACCATCAATATCAGGCAATGACCTAAATGAATGAAAAAAAAGCCATCATGAAAGTTACCCAAGCAAAATAAGCAAAACTAAGAAAAAATGAAAGATCCATTTCACCTGATGCGCTTCTCCACGTTGTTCCTGAACACTTCACGGAAATCATAGAGGGAGAAGCTCCCAGCTAGCACCATTTTATTCACCCTTTCAGACTTGAGAAAGACTTCATAGTAACTCTGAATTGCATTTTGGAATGCTTCATCACTCGGAATCCCTGGGACTTGAAGCTCTCCACGGAGAAAACACTGAAAAAAAGACCAAGAACATTTGAACATTGTCCCTCAATACATCAAGGTGCTTTTATGAGTTCAGGCAAAAGTCTCACCTGGAATCTGTTCTGTATACTTTCCAGTTGCTGCTTCATCACTTTCTGATGCCGCTTTGTCATGTCAGTTGGCTGTTTGGCATTGAAAGGATACGCGATGCATCTTGAAACAAATACATATAGTTGGATCCTCTTTTTTCGTTCCTCTTCCTCCCGTTCCTGCTTTTCCTACCAGACAAATTTCATCATACCCACATGTAGTTGAGCATGAATAAACATGCCAATTAGAATTAATGTTACTTTATCCAAAGCATGAGAAAACTAACCTGCAAATCAGGCTCAGTTGTTTTCTCACTGGCAAGAGAAGGGCTTGGGCTAATGGGCCTAGGTAGGGAATTAGTCCGAGATATTGCACCACCTCCAATGCTCAATGTATCAATAGATGTGGCACTATTTGGGGAAATTGACCTGAAAATGAAAGGAGGAACATGTGCTATTAGAAGTGACCATTCTTGGTGGACTAGGCAAGCCTCATCAATAATCAATTTTAAAAGTCAACAAAGCAAACACTAGAAAATGCACACCTTCCCTGAAGAGATGGACTGGGTACAAGATGAGTGAGTGATGGGGGTGTCACCTCATGACGCTGGTTATCTGATACCTCCCCATCGCTCTCCTCTTCTGAAGAACTTGGATTGAGCATCTTGGTGGGCAAGAGAGATTCTGCCCTGACTGGAAGTCTGACTTTGTGAGATCACCAAAAACTGTGAAACATCACTGACTTCATCTCTCACCTCATTCTGCATACATCAAACAATCCAGCATGTACAGTATAATAGCAGATTTGATAAGATATGGCAATTCAGACATGACAAATACTGAGTGTTCCACAAAAAACACCTCATTTTCAAATAGCTGTAAGTTTTCTGCAATCCATCACAAAATATCTTATTTTATCTTATGAGTAAGACTGCGAGTTTCAAGTGAGTGCAAGAAAATATCCATGTGCTGATTTGAATATCAACAAAAACTTGAGTCCACTGAGTGGTGGCATCAGACAAAAAGCATTGCCCAAATCCAGTGTAATCCATCATGTTTCTGATCAGTGTCCTTTGTGACGAATTTGGACAGTATCTGTTGACTTGAATTTCCACATAAGTGCACCAATGAATCAGAACAGTTCTATGATCCTGTGAGAAATTAAACTCCAAACAAGTGAACAATGTTCTTTTGCCTGAAACAACCACTCTATAATTTTTGGCTTAGGCTGTAAATCAAGTCAAGGCAGTGGTTTACAGTTTGTGTGGGACACCCAGCTTTTCTTGAAAATTAAAGTAAAATATTTTTCACATGCAAAGAATGAATGAAAACATGAAGTTATTAGAATATGGAGTTTTTTCTGGAAGACCCAATATATGGAAAATATTATGAGTTTATATATATATATATATCTTTGAGACTTTCTATATAGTATGTGCTCTCCCAGATGTGACTATATCATTGCTGGAAGAGGCACAACATAGAATCATTCACCCATTCTCTCCTCTTCATAAACACCACCTCACTTGCATGCAACCCATATCTTCACACACCCTTGGTCCTACATATACGAATTCTTAGCATCTCTTGCAACATAGCATGGCAACTAGCATCAACAGATACACTGGGGCTTGAGTAGGGCATGTAACATGGTTGCTCCCAGATGCCAGCATTGAACTTAACCATTATTTCTCTACATTAATATTATACACTCAAACCTCAAGTATCACAACTGAAACTTATATATAACAAGAGGGCCATGCCAACAATGGACAATGGATGGCGGATTCTTCAGTGGCAGTCAGATCTGCAAATTCATGAAGGTCTGGGTTGCTTCTGACTGCCATTGTGGTGGTTGTGGGACTGCCATTGTGGGGGTTGTGGAGAAGTGGACAGAAAGCTTAGATTCTCCGCGTAGTTTATACAGGTATAATTTCAGTGCGAGGGGGGGAAAAGTGAACAGGAAAGTGCGAGGAAGTTGAAGCGGACAAGGTTCCTTCCTCCTTGCGACAAGATCTCGTGGAAATCACTTGGAGCGTGAAGTTGACATATACAGGATTAGTTCAGACTGATGGAGGTAGATGGCGTTGCCATCAACGCGTACGGGATGAGGGATACGGCTCTACGTATGCCAGGATCGTGCCAGTGTGCCTGGAGCACACCAGATGAAGGCCTAGGATGCCATGCAGCATAGAGACTGGTGTGCGTGTGGTGGAGCCTAAGCGAAACTCAGTGTGCACAGTGGTGTGCATAGGGGCTAGGGGGGGGTGTGCGCATAACGTATAATACCCCAACAACCTATTCATAAAATACATCCATGTGCCACATTTCTTTTACATTCTGTCAGTGATTCACTAAGGAAGTCATCTTGAAGGGGAAATCATGCCATGTACAATTGCAATTGTTTGCAGGGAATGGCAGGAAGCACCCATTTCCTTAGTGCAAAAAGAGGCAAGGGATTTTGGCACCGGGCTGCAATCACATGCATTTCTTCATCTTTCTTTTTTTTTTTTAACAGGGGGCATGGTGATTGGGATAGCAGAGCAATAATCTGTCAATGCCCAGTGGTGCTACATCTGCAGTCAATGCTGGTGGTTGCCAATGCATCAAGATAGTCCTAATCATTTTGCATAGACCTAGGGCATGCACATTGGATTCTTCAAAAAATAAGAAATCAATCAATGAATTTAGAAATAATAAACTGCACTATAGGAGCATCCTAGTAACTCAACACTAGGATAGGTACACATAGATTGCTTTTCTTCCTGTGGAAGGAAATGAGACTCCTGGAGGCAGATTTTACCATATTAACATATATTTCATCCTGTGAGGTCTTGTGTAAACTTGCATTCCCATATTTAAAAGTTTGGATAACACGTTTCCATGTGAGGGTCTGAACAAGGTCAGTTAGAATCCCACTTACAGGCAAATGGGTGGTCCCTTATTGCACTTTCTTCAAGTAAATTTTGTCGCCTGGTTCAGACTGGTCTCAGACTTGAAAAGCTTACTCTACTGTTACAATGCAAACGAAAGACTAGGCCTATCTCATGCAATGTCACGTTAGCTTCGCTTGTGGTGCCGTCCATGTTTCGCTTGAGTAGGCAAAAGGTCTTTTTTGGCTTCTACAACTAAAGTGTCGATGCGGCCTCTCCAATGCAAGTCAATAATTTATTGATAGATCCCAAGTTGATGCGTGAAGTAAAATTGAAGAAACTTTCCCCAACTCTTGCAAGTAGCGCAGCCCGCTGCCTGTATGACCAGTATAACCAACTTTTACGGCACAAATAGTTTATTTTTTGCCGATTTTAGCTTGATTTCTGCTTTGCCAAAACAAGGCCTGACAGGCTGATTTAAAAACTGCAATCCAGTCGCAGTTCTGCAAGTTCAGTTCCAGTAGGGATTTCTTTGTCATAGAAGTCGAGAAGAGCACAGTAGAACTTGAGTCAGATCAGTCTGAACTGAAACTGGAATCGAACTGCAAGTGAACTGCCGTATTGAAATCAGCCTAAGAGAAGAGACAGACAGCCCCACAATGGCTTAACCTTGAACGCTGCCATCATGGTGCAGTACAGATTGGCAACAGCACGTCCCGATCCTAATATAAGAGAAGGGCTCGAAATGATCGCTTAACTCTGAAAACGCGGTAAATAAAATTGCTCACAACTACACCAGTGAGGGATTCCAGAAATTTTGTGAAAATGTAGCTTTTCCTTCTTGTACAAGGTGCATACCCAGCATGCGAACGAACATTCCATCAGCGCTACATAAGCGTTAATGTTTGAACTCCCTCAGCCTTGGAGTAGTGTCACAGGTTCGGTGTGTGCTGTTACTGTTTTCTCTTCGGAGGCTGGCAACTTATTATTATTATATGATACCGATCCCTGTGCAATAAGGTTAGGGGATGTCAGTGGTAGCGGGTGATTCGGACCCAGGCGGTCTCGATTTCTCTGTTCCACAGCCTTAGTGTTTGACAACAAGGAAGGATTCAGAAGTCAGTCACTATACACCCTGAGCCTTTTTAATCATTGATTATTATAATATCAACAGAGTAGTTAAACAATATTAAGAATCATGTAAATATGGAAACAAAGCACTTCTCACGTCCTTGTGTGTAGTGGAGGGAGTCAGGACGAGTATGCCCCTCACGAAGGGAAGGCTTGTCTTGGAAGGCGCGTAGTGCTAGTCTTCTGCACAACTGGTCTGGAGGTACGCCCGGTCTGGAATCCTCAGACACAACTGTCCTGTGTAACTGTCTGGCGTGGAATCCTGACACAACTGGTCCTTGTAGCTGTCTGGCGTGGAATCCCCCTTCCAGTGCGGCTTCGGACCCCTTTTAAAGCTGGTTCATGCCCTCGGGCATATTTCAAGCCCATCACATTTTGGCACCTTCAGTGCTCTTTGTTGCCTTCAGTCAGGTGCATAGCTTCGACGGTAGATGTCTCCCGTGGACCCTGATCTGCTACCTCAGATCTTTTCTATCAAATTCATTTACTTGATTTGTCCTGAGGATAAGCAAGGATTTTCGTACCGTACATCAAGAAAACTGCCACCAGGGAAAGTGAAAAAATTGCTGTCCGAATTTTAATTTATTCCATTATATTTTATTTAATGATGAGTGATCGGCATGTTTGGATAAAACTATCTTGGTTGGAAGCCTGAGCCGATACTTTTTAAAAGACAGTAGGTTAAATCATTTCGACCATAACTCCTCGTGTAAAAGTGCTAATTTCGTCCCTTGGAGGTGTGTCTTATATGATGGCCCCCCCCCCCCCCATCATTTTTTAGGAACAGGATTTTCCTCCCCCATAATCGTCGCTCTTAAATTGATCAAGAACTTAAGATTAGGTGTTCTTAGGTCAAATAGAGACGTCTTCAAAAGTAATGGGTTTTCCTGTGCGGTAGAAAATGAGTCCATTGCGGATAGGAAGGCGCCTGCAAGTACTACCAGGGACTACTCACTTGTCCCAAGGGGATATCTCTGTGATGTCTTTAAGATATACCTGTGCTGTGTGGGTTATTTGTACTCCTGCATATCGTTGGGCTTTCAAGAAATTATTAGGATAAGAATTCTGTCTTACCCCGCATTCCTGTGACGCGACTGTGGTTATTTGCTAACAGACATTTTACTTAGGTACTTTTACTGTAGGACATTCCTTAGTCATGGTTGTAATGCTGACTTAACCCGAATAAAATTCATATGTGGTGCACGCTCTCCGTTGGCTAGGGTAGAATGCAGTATGGTAGACCGGAAGGATTACCGGCATTTTTCCCCCGAAGGAATGCATACCTGCGTAACCATGTCAAGTATGCATCTGCCGGAAGGCTTCTATTTTTCAGTTTTTTCAGTAATGATTGCAGTCCCTCAAAGTAGATTGAAATCGGGTAGTGAAAAACTGAAGAGATTCATTGAAATTTGTTATACAGAGCAATCGCATTTTGCAAGTCATACACGTGATGATTTCCACGCGACCGTAATGAAAGTGAAGGATCCGGCAACCATGATCGAAATGGAGCACATGGATGGAGGTTAAAGATGGCGGACGGGCGGAGGAGTTCCTGGGATAAGGATCGAGACCGAGACAATCGATCCTCGGACAGTGACCGGAAGGAAGGAAAATATGACGAGCCTCCCAATTCTCGCCTTTTCATCGTCTGTGGCAAAACTCTATCTGAAGACGATTTCAGAGAAAGTTTTCAACGTTTCGGCACCATCGAGGAGATCTGGATGGTCCGGGACCGGACCACGGGAGACCCAAAAGGTTGTTCTTCGTCTTTTTACATATTCTTGTCGGAAATGTAAATATTCAGAAAACTTACTTTCCGCTCCACTATTAGGTGTCACTTACATAAAGTTTACCAAGACTTCAGAGGCTGCTCTGGCCATGGAAGAAATGAATGGGAAATGCATTGGAGGCCATCCTCGTCCCCTCAAAGTCCTCATTGCTCACAGGTTTGCTGAACTTGTATTCAATTGTCAAATTGTGTTTTCTTATATTTCACTTATCAAGTGAAATCGATATCGGTCTGTAAATGATCACAGTCGTGCCAGTATGATGAGCCAATTTCTTTAATTGCTTCCTTCCTCTTTTAGTCGGGATCAGGGTTCGAAACGTGAGATGAATGAAGAGGAACGTCTTCTACGTCTCTTCGTGGTGGTGCCAAAAACATACACAGAGACTGATATACGCAATCATTTCTCCGAATTTGGTGAGATTGAGCACATCTCAGTCGTGAGGGACCGGCAAACCAAAGAGAGCAAGGGCTTTGCCTATGTCAAGTATACAAAGTGAGTCCAACTATGTCCAGTATGGTAGGCCTGCAGTCAACTTTTAATCAGTATTTCAGGAGACTTATTATTGACATAGCATCCAAATTACTTACAATTTCATTGTAGTGATTTCTTAATTCTCTTTTTCTCAAGAGGTAACAGCATTCAGTCAGCTGCAGTTTTCCTTGATCTGTCATAGTTCATTCATACTGAAATCAGTTCTTTGAACATTGCAATAGAAAACTGAACATTAGTTGTTTTTCTCTATATACAAAATGCTATAATTTTTTTTTTTCAATATGAAGAATGTGAGTGGATTCTAGACCCTAAGAATATCAGCTTTTAACTATTCCTCCTTTGTGTAGGCAATGGAAAAGGGGAGTAGAAATTAGGATACATTTTAGGAGAGATGTCTAATTGACCTTACTTATTGTTTTCCCTTCATGGAGTTAGTAAGGTATGTAATACTTATATATACTTATATTAAGTATTAATATAAGTAGAATATGAGCATCTTTCTTATAAACCAAATAAGCTCCCAAGGGAAAAAATATGTGAAAATCCTTCTTTTCTCTCGTTAGCTTATATATTCTGTCTTGCATCATTGATATAGGGTAAGAATGCTCCTGGAATATGAAAAACTGGTACTTCTTAAGAACTATTGACGAATAGTATTTTTACTGGGGAGAGAATTTTAATTTTTGTTGAATGTGGTCTATGTACGTACATCTTTTGCCTACTTTAAGGAGCATGTCAAATGGTATATTAATGAAGGAAGAGTTGACTGTAATTCTATTCAATTTGTTCATTAAAGTGGTCATGAACCTATCATTCTCTCTTTTGTCACATTGCAGGATGTCTCATGCCGCAAAGGCATTTGAGAGCTGTGAACGGTCATTCAAGGCTGTGTTTGCAGATCCAAAACCCCAGAGGCAGATTCATGCCCCACCACATTTGAAATTTGAGCAGGAGTCCTTCACCCCACTGACAACATCAGCCCCAACTGGGCACATAGGTCTTGGTATTCCTACCCCTGGAATGCATGCGTTTGACTTCCTACCTCACAATACTGGTGATTAATCTAACTTTGTTCCATTTTCATTTTTTTCAGTGTCTTGATTTTTTAAACTGGTGTATATAGATGCTGAAGTTGATTTGTGTTCATTATTTTTTTTATATCTTTCAATTTCCAAATTCTTTCCATGTTTGTTTTGCCCAGACATCTAACAAACTGCTTCACTTGACTTTTGAGTTTCCTTAATATTCCTTTAATTTGTGAGGGGTTTGTCTAAGTTCTTTGTCAGCTTTCCATCTCTAATGCAAGTTTCAGTATGTTGAACCAGATACCTGAGGACATGGAGAAGATTTATTGGATGTTATGGGTGCTATCTTTCTGACTAAGGAATTTGATTTGCATTTTCCAGGACAAAATCCAGATGGTACAACACGTCTCACGGTGATTGCTTCCCCGAACCTCAATCAAGATCAGCTTTGGAAGCTGTTTGATATTGTCCCTGGCCTGGATTATTGTGACCTGAGGAAACCATCTCAGAAGAGACCAGGCCAGGTGAGTAATTTGACTCTGATTTGAATTTTTTTTTATTGACTCAATTGAAACTGGCAAGTTACCTGTGAGCCTGAGGATGAGGTGAATCTTGAGGAAGGAGGAGAATTGTAAAAATTAAGGTTTTAGTTATAAATCCATCAATAGTAAGATCAATCAGATAGGCTGTATTTGATCTCAGACTTATTGGCCAATATCAGTATCAATGGATTTGGGAAATACACAGTCATGGACAGATCATATGTAAAAGAAACAACTCATCAGGCATTGATGCTTCGCAGATATGAAACACCTTCATAAGAAATGGCAAACTTAGTCCATCCCTTGTTGGGCTTATCATGGAAATGATTGCTTTTGGCCTGTGTTATATGACATTAGCCATCATTTTATTTTCCACATTTTTCAAGTTGTGGGGTTACTTGAGCCTTGACCCTCACCCCCAATTCCCCAGTCTCTTCCTTTGAATTATAGGCACAACTTCATGAACTCCTTCAGCCTGGTTAGCAACACAGTAGGTAGTTATCAGAATAACCAAGCTTCAGAATTGGAAGCAGAGAGACACTTGCAACCAGTCAGTATATTTAAAATAAAAAAAAGGGGGGGGGGGAGTAATATATTGACCAGTTGTGAGTGTCCCTGTGCTTCTGTTTCTTTTACTTTCATTCATTCACCATATAAATGTGGATCCTGGTTGTGAGGAAGAAAACAGTTTTGTGTTTTTTCCTTCAATACCAATCAAGCTTCAGTCTGTATGGCTACCATCTCTGTCTTCTCTTACCATAGAAACTCCAGACTGCTTCTAGAATTAAGAATCTTTCTCCTCTTGAAGAAGATATTCCATTTGGGATGAAATTGCTTATTCCCAGATATTTACTTTTGAAGATTTCATTACCTTTTTTGGGAGAAAAGAGTAAAGCATCAAATGAACCTTGTGACCTCTTCCCATCCAAGCAGCAGAGTCGTGGTTTTGCCATTGTGGTGTACAACAATCCCCAGTCGGCTGCTTATGCCCTTCAAAAGCTCCATGGCTTCGAGTATCCACCCGGCGAGAGGTTGATAGTCCGCTTTGATACTTCAGATTCATCACCTCTACCTTCTTCACATGGGTGAGTATGCATTAGAGAATGTAGAGGGTTTAAAATTAATTCCTTTTTTTTGTAGAAAATTGTCAATTTTTTGTTTGAAAATTCAGACCAGGGCATGGAATGGGTCCAAGTTCTCCATATTCCTCATTTGGAGTACGTACCCCAGCGCAGTCTCATCCCATGTTGGGGTTGAGGCAGCAGACATCATCATCTGGAACTGGGGCTTCAGCCGCAACCTTGCCCAAGGATCTGGCCGCCTTGGCCGAGACCATCGTGCAAGCCACGACCATCATCCAAGCCGCCGGATTGGCCGGGGCTCAGGGTGCTCTTCGTGGGGTCTCCAGTCAGCCAAAGTTGGAGTCCCAGTCTAGTAATGGTCTCATGACTTCTCAGCTAGACTCCTCTCCATCTTCATATGACCCATCGTATTGCTCAGTGAAGCTCCCTTCACCACAGCCTCTTGCTCCCACAGATTCTCATGTGGCAGAGAGGTTTGTAGTTGATTACTGGATACTTAGTATCTAGTCCGTGCTATTAGATCACTGTTTTTCTTGTTCTTTCTCTCCTATCTTTGAATGCAGGCTGTTCATAGTTTGCATCCCAACTCCTCCTCCTACATACGTATTGAAAGATGTCTTTGGGAGATTTGGAGGTCTCATTGACATCTACATGCTTCATGGGAAGAATTGCGGGTATGCCAAGTATGCAGACAAGGCAGCTGCTGAGCAGGCCATTTTGGTGAGTAGTCTGGTGATCTAATGTGTGTGTAGATTGGAGAGGTTGAACATTTATACAATTGGCATTGCAGACTCTTCATGGGCAAGATGTGTGTGGTGCAAGGTTGAAAGTGATGGAAGCTGATCCTCAGGACAAGTCTAATGATTCAGTGAGGAAGAGACTGCGTATGGATCTTGAACACTGACATGGACTAGTGCCCATAGGATATAAGAAGGATCGACTCGACAGGTAAGTCACTTGAAATTCTCACCACGTTTCACCAGTCTATCTTTCTAGCATGGGTTGAGGAGAGCCTCATGCTTTCTTAACCAATCTTGGTAAGCTGGACTCAGAAATTATTATCCATATGTGGTGAGTCACTCATTCTTTCTGTCGCACACAGCACAGGGGTTTTCTTCACTGAGATTATATCAGTGTCTTCTGGATACCATTCATCTGCATGACTGTCCGAGATGCACATTCCTTTACTCTTCTCCCATCCTTCTCCCCCAGAGTGCCTTTTAAACCAATATTTTATAATATTTAAAAGAAATTCTGACATGTTTGCAAAAAAATCAACCTAGTTCTGTAAGTTGGTGCTATCAGTGCATGTTTATGATCTCGGCCTTCAGTTTACTGTGAAAATTAACTGCTTCATAAACAGTTGGCTAACTTATTGTATCAAACTGAGTTATATACAGTTTGATGCAATTTTATCAATTTATAAGGTAATTGCTTAATTGTCTTGTATAATCATTTTTATTTTATAGTGTGGAGAAACATTCCTTAAAATATCTGCCTTTGTCATATTGATGCATACAACTAAAGATGTGCTCTTTGAAAAAAAGACCATTCATTGTTGACTATAGACATGGAGATTTCCACATTGCATCCCCCCTAAAAAAAAAAAAGTTCCATCAATGGCAGTGATATTCATTGGGAAAATTATCTATGGGCTATCAGCATGTATCCTGGGAGGTCCCCTCAGCCCCTGGTCACAAAGGTTTTAATAGTATGTTCACAATTCTCAGTATGCCCTGCACTGCTGACATTGCCATGCTTGGCTTACTTGCCTGATGACATTGATTTGATGGGGAGGTGACCTAAGACCGACCGTGATTTGCAATGACTCCCAACATTGTTGACCTGCGACCTGCCTGTGAAAAACATGGCTGTTGGTTTATTCTCCACAGCATTGGATACGAGCGACCGAGGACGGACGGTGTGTACAGAAAACTCTCTACTCCCCCATCATGTTTTGTTGCGACTGCTTGACATGTACGAGACTTGTATGTCCCTACTTTTTTTTTGTCTCTACCTGCTCTCATTCTCCTCCGCTCACTTCTTCTCGTATATGGTGACTGGAAATCCCTATGCTTCGCCGAGGGAACGACAGCACAGACAATCCCCCATTTGGAACAAGAGCTTTACACTGATATATTATGATTGCTATTTGAAAGAGAAATACACGAGACCAGAAAAAAGAGAGCCACGACACTCACAATGATGAGTGCAGGGAGATTATCATGGGAACTGTGTCTGGTGTGTCTCTCTCTTTATCTTTCTCCCATTGAGGCTGCTGTCTTGACTTGGGGATTTAACCTCCCTAAGTGCAAGCTCACATTCACAATGCCCTACAGATATTCTCAGCGAGGAATTCATTTTATACAAAAAAAGAGGAATAAAATATGTATGGTTTCAATATTGTTTTTTTTTTTCCTTTCTCACAGTACATCACAGATATGATCATGTCTTCAATCGTTTTTTGTTGGTGGCTTCTAGCTGCTCAGCCTGCTGAAAAAAGTAAAATGAATGAATGATGATTTATATTTAATATCTCTCCAGAACAAGAAAAATCATATTCCTTACTTGTGCTGGCTTTCTCTTCTGCTTTGAGTTTGTCCCTTCAGCTTCAGCATCTGCTGGTAACTTGGAGTCTCTGCAATGTTATGCTGCTGAATAGGATTGGACTATGCATGGACAAGCATAATGCCTGATGAAAGGAAGCATTACCGTATCTTAAGCAGGCTCCTCTGCACAGGACGTGGTGTGAAATGGATCTGGCGCAAGGCCTCAGATTTCTCCACAGTTTTTATTGCAAGACCTCCATTGGTTTTATACCTATCCACATATTTGGGAGGTTGGAAGTTTCTCCATGGTTCATTGGTGCAGCTAGATGATGGCATTTGTTTAGTCTGGAAAGGGTTACACAAGATGCATCTGCAATGCTTCAAAGTAGAACATGATCTAAAGAATAAGATATCATTGATTATCCCATTACCTGTACTGATTGTAGCATTGAGCCTCTTGAATTTTCCCTTGAGAGGTTTTTGGGTTGAGGTTTTGAGTCTAAGGTCTCGCAGACAATATTCAAGTTTGGCATTTGTGAATCTTCTGTAATTGGGAGATGCTTCATCTGGGCTCCATGCCTGTAAAAGGAAAAGGTAACTAGAATTTTCAGTAATGGATCCAGGCAGATTTGATCAGTTGTGACCTGGTCCTGCTGTCCAAAGATTCCATTGTCCTGATCCTTGCAGCAACATTTTTCATTCTGTCATGAAGCTTTAATCGTGTCTCATTCACTGTTTCACACTCTGGAGCATAGCAGACATGTAGGGAACCCCCAAAAAAGGTCCTCTCATCAAGATGCTTTTTGGCAAACCTGTTCCAAAGGTAAGAATGTTCTCATGAAATGCGAATATTAGAATGCAGAGAGCATTACTGATAACTGATTCACCTGGCAGAAATGATTCTCTGATACTTAATCAGCCAAACTTGAGTGAAACGTTCTGCTGGATAATCCTCCTGCAATTTGAGATGAGCTACTTTCCCAAACTTGGAGCACAAGTTCCCAAGTTCTGCCTGGAGGCCAATGGATGGCACTCCATGGATGAGGAGATATTGAGATTCCTGGTTCACAGTGAATGCCTAAATGATGGTACCAATAAATTTGGTGTCTCAATTGGTCAACATACCAGAGCCCCTACAGAATTCAGACTAACCTTTACAGCTGTGAGTTTACGTCCCTGTCGGTACTTAGGACGCGAGGTGCAGACTTCCTGTTGTACATGATGAGGCCTTGGTTCCAGAACCTTCACATGCTCCATGGTCAGCTTTTGCTAAGGAAGTTTGTAGTACAACTCTAGGAGAATGTTCTGGCTATGAGTTGCCCTTCATAGCAACAAAAGAAATCCATCTGATAAAGAATAATAGTAACACAGTTTTTATGCATGAAATAGGTTTTCCTCCTGATTTATCGAAAAGGAAGTGTTGAGTTGGGTAAAGCCCACTCCAGTAGGTAGCCACTTCAGGGCGCTGGGGATACATGAAGACTTGAGGGTGAGGGAGAATATAGGAGGATGTCTTTGGAAAGTTACCATGAGTCATTTGGAATGGGGGAAGTTCATATAGGTGCATCAGCTCTGCTGTGCTCCTATATGAGAGGCCATGAATTGTACAATTGTATCTTATAAATAATTTGTTATTCCATGAATATTTACAGAAACAATAGGTCTTGAGTAGATCTTGTGAGATACACTGAAAATGTGATATTTCAAGCAGTTGTTTTATTGCAGGCAGAGAAGTTTCAGAATGACATACATACATATCTGGATAGTTGCATTGAGTCTTATTTATTTTTCCTAAGTAGGCCAGCCAAAAATGGGAAATGGATGGAAACTATAAATATGTTATGTCCCAATTCTGTGAATCCAACCTACCCCATGCCTGCAGCATGACTTGCACTGTGCATTTGGACAATAATGTGGGTATTATCTGTATCACTTGTCTTCACATATAGGTACTGTGAGCCTCTCTTCTACATGACGTGGATACCATCCACATCCTACTCATAACTTGCATTTCCTGGAAGATACTAGGGTGGTGCAACATTTCTTTTTTGATGCCATCATCAATAGAGCTAAACTACTTTCCCCAGAGGTAGAATTAACAGTGAGACCAAGAACTGATGGAATCAGATTTATCTACCATTTATTTTTCCCAGTTTGCCGTTTATTTCCACTTTTGATATTTCACAATTTGAATGCATGGCATGTATTTTTGCCTCCTTTTAGCATTTCTCTACCTAGGTTGATTTCATAATTATATTGTTTACTTATTTATGTCTTCACTCCTGATTTGTGCACCTCCACGTCACCAGGGCCAGCTACCTGATCTGGCAGGGTTGCTGTCAGATGTGGAGGAATTTTGAAGTGAAATTTTCCAATCACATAGTTTAGTCATGCTGTAAAAAAGTATGCTCTCATCTTAGTAGTCTTCAGGGCTTGACTTTGCATGTGTAGATAATGTTCCTTGTGGGTCTCACGGGTGGCATAGCCAGTGGGAAAAGCATGGTGGCATCCATGTTTCAAGATTATGGCATTCCTGTCATCAGTGCAGATGAAATTGCCAGAGAAGGTGAGATAATTTTGCCACCTTAAAGTTGGCATGTTGGCCCTGGCAGATTCCAAAGTCCCATGACTGTAGCATTGAGATTAGAGGAGTGGTGTGAATTCTAACTAGAGATCGACCAATATTGGATTTTACTGATTTTATTGATTCTGATATTGACCAATATGTGAAGCTGATAGCCAATGCAATATTGGCTGATATTTCAGCATAACCAAAACCATATTGAAGATTCAATGGGACAGCTCATTATTATTTCAAATTCTCCTTGACGAACTCATAATGAGGTTAGGCTGCAAAGCATAGGCCAAGCATAAGTCTTAGAGCAAAGGTCTGTGCCAGACTTGGAACATGAGCAAAGCAAAAAACCTGCAATTCCTTGCCTTTTGGATGATGCCATATTGGCTATATCATACCTCTCAATGTTTCTATATGGGTGTGAAAAAAAAAGTCCTAGTCATATTTTCTTTCACTGTATATGTTGAACAGAACTCTACCTATGATATAGACAAAAATCAGGTGGTTTGAAAGAGCCGATGTAAATACTCGCTGATATGCTCATATCGGCCTATTTATATTGGCAATCGATATAGCAGTTGATCTCTAATTCTAACATCTTGTATTTCAGTGGTACTGCCAGGAACAAGGGCATGGAAGAAGATCCAGGAAGAATTTGGTAGTAAATACATCACTGCAGAGGGAATGGTTGACCGCAAGGCTCTGGGCGATCTGATCTTCCAAGATGAAATAGCCCGAAAGAAACTCAATGCAATTACACATCCTGAGATATACAAGCAAATTGCATGGCACATAGTCAAACACTTCTTTCATGGTGCTGCCTCACATTCTATATATTGCCCTAAAGTATTGAAATCATTGGTAATTTGTAATGTCTCATTTCATTAGGTCACCAATTTGTAATTATGGAGTTGCCCTTACTCTTTGAAAGTGGAGCAACACTTTCATTTCTACACAAGATAATAGTGGTGACATGGTGAGTGTGTCCCATGTAACTAGGTCTATATCTAATGTTTTTTCTCATACTATACATTCTATATTGCTCACAGTTCAAAGGAAGATCAGCTTCAGAGGCTTCAAGAAAGAAACCAGCTGACACTAGGAGAGGCAGAAGCAAGGGTGAATGCCCAGTGGCCACTGGATGAGAAATGTGCTAGGGCTGATTACATTATCCACAACTCTGGATCCCTGTCAAAAACTGAAGAGCAAGTGACCAGGATGTATTTGGAATTGAAGGAATCATATGCTCATTTACCAGTGCGTCTCCTAGTAGGGACAGTGGTGCTTGGTGCTCTTTCCACTCTGGCATACATGGTAGTCCATTCTCATTGATCTTAACAGTTTTTTATAGCATCTCATGCAGTCTCTATAGTACCAAACTATATTGCATTCCTGTCTGATCTCACTTTATGGATGACTGTGATGAAGTAAAATCAAACAATACTGGATTCCTGTTTTTAGTCAATATAATTGGACAAGCTAGGCATTCCATCAAACAGAGATACTTGGATAATTTACTTTACATTGATGTTACTGGGGTTGACAGACTTTATACACTGTGAGGTCCACATCAACATACGTGATACACACACCAAGGATCCAAAGAATAAGTGTTTTCAAGACATGTTGCTTGGAAGAAGAGGTCGGAGGGCTGCTGCCGGATAGGAAACAAGGGCAGGAGGACCATTCCCAGCTGCACTTGTCAGAGACATGGCAATGTTCTGAGGGGTAGCCTGAGCCATGGCCTGAGACATGGAAATGGTTACAGCTGGGATGGAATGTGGGATGGAGACTGATGCAAGAGATACCGGGATGGAGGCCATGCCAGCGATGGCCTGAGCTGCAGTGCCAACAGCAGCAGATGTAGGTGCAGTTGGTGCTGGTGGAGGCTGTCCAGGAGTAGCCACAACAGTCAGTGGGAGCTGCTGGGAAATTTGTGCAATAGGTACAGACACTGCAGGAGTGCCTGCTGCAGCTGCAGCTGCTGTGATTGGCCCAGAGTTCACCACCTTACTTATGCGCAACTGTGCATTCTGATCCAGCAAGAATTCATTGGTGGCTCGAAGATCAGACACCTGTCTCTTGAGTTCTTCAACCCGTTTATGTAGAGCCTCATTCTCCCCACGCAAACAACGCAACTCCTCAGCAACATGTGTAGGGATGTATACCTCTTGCTGGGGACCAGGCAGGAACAATGGACGTGGGGCCATATTTTCCATGAACTGCCTTTTTGCTTCAGGAGGACACACATCACCATTCTCAACATCATCAATGCGCTTCCTGTTGACATGATGACCAAAGAGTTCTACTTCCAACTCCCTTCGACTCAAATGCCTAAACTTGCACTTGCCACCTCGCCTGCAGTCCCCCTTAAGGAAATCTTTACAGACTGGAGATTCACCATGGAATAGCCATTCTGTGGCAATCCCTTTCTGGATGGCAGTCTCAAGGACATGCTGTGGGAGCACTCCCGTGTGCAGGTAATATTCTTGTTCTTTACGAGTGCAATGGAAGAACCTGCAGTTTGGTCTTTCACATGTCCTATTCTGATAGTCATGACAGAACATAAACTCTAGAGGAGTGTTTCCATTTGTCATCCCCTCACCATCAGGATGCCGAAACTTGCAACGATCACCACGATGGCACACATTTCTCAAGTAATCTCTGCAAATTGATTCACCATCTTTGTCTTCCTCCATGGTCATCTCTACTTTGCTTCCCTTTGACAGGTTTCACCTAGGTGAGGACAGGGTGGACTTGTCTGATTTCAAAGACCCATGACAGTCTAGACCTGGAGAGAACACCACTTTTAAAATTATATAGAGTGAACAATTCAGCCTACTAGGATAAAATTACAAGTAGCATCAGCCAAATCAAGGGCTTCTTTCAACCCGAACGAAATGTTATGCCTTAGGCCTATGTGTAAATTTCCAAAAACAACTTAAAATCTATGTCGCCATAAATCAGTACAATGTAATTGCTTCAATTGCATGGCAATAAGTACTGGGGTCATGGGGGCATAAACTTTCTAGATTGCATACATGATCGTTGCCTCTGAATAAACTTTTCATTTTCATTATTATGGGTATTGCGTGCAAAAATTGCAAATTATCCTCAGAAAGTAACGGTAACAAATGAGAAACTTAATACTTCTTCAAACGTAAGGGGATTTCCCACTTTTACTTCAGACGGTAGGATTGTCAACTTCGGAATCAAAATCAACTTAAAGTACTATAGGCCTATTACAATGGGTTGCATAAATAAGGGCGCCTTTAAACCGGAAACTCGAATTTGGCTAGACTAGGGTAAGCTAGAAACTGAGCGAAAAACTCTAACGTTACATTTTAGGCCTATTCACAAGCCAAATAAATATAAATGTCAAACCAATGTAACTGTAGTCTCTTCTGCTTCCCTTTAGATTTTTCTTTATGAAGAAAATTCACAATTTTCGGAGCATTATTGCAACATTCACAGTCGGTGTGGCAAATGCCAATGGCGTCTTTTAAAAACAAAGCCATTTGGGAAAGCACGTGCACAGCGCCATGTTGTAATCATTCCACTGTCCGCGCTGTCCGCGCAGGAACCAAGCCTGAAGACGCACGTCCCACCCTTAAGTCGTAATTTCGAATAATCCCGACGAACTTTCTTTGGGTCTTGCAAAATAGCCGTTCTCCCAAGTTTGTATGCAATTTATGAATTTATGTGTAATTTATGAGAGACAAGGGGCGTGTCTTTTTCTCCAGCCGCTAGCCGCGAAAAAGACGCGTTGGCTAGGCACGACCACGTCATCGAATGACGTCACTCTTGGGCAAGCAGCTGGCAGCGGAACACAGCGAACTATGGGAGCGCTGAGGAGCTCAGCCTTAACATGACGTCATGGGATGCTGGAGGCCTCAGCAGAGCTAGCAGAGCCGCTAGGAAATAAGACGCGCCCTTGAGCGAGCGTTCAGCACGCGGAATCGAAAATGCTCAACATGTCCACTTCCGGTAGCTTTAGTTAAGCCTGCTCACATGGTACCCTCACGCCTCTCGTCATTTCTGGTTTATCTGGGGCTCTTTACTTTAGAAAGTGAAAATGCTCTACGTTTCGGCGTCATTACGGATGCTAGGGATTAACTCTTCTCCCTCCGGGGAGGGGAGTGAGGCTTTGGGAGTCCTTTCGCACAGGGCGCCGAAATAACTAGGGCCGGGCCTGCTCTTACGTGGTGACGGGGATCTCTCAGTTGGATCTCTATACAGGTAAGAAAATAAATTATTTTATTTTGTGAAACTGCATTTTGTTTCCCATGTTCCTTGTGCCATACTTTTGTTATACTTCTGGGACCATTCGGGGGGGGGGGGGGGGGGGGGGCGGGCCCCTTTTCCCCCCTGGGGTTGGGGGGGGGGGGGGGGGGGGGGGGGGGGGGGGCGGCGGCGGCGGCACGTGCCCCTTTGCCCCCATGGGTTTGGCGCCTATGTTCATGCCCAGAATCGCGGAGGGGAGACCGAAGCTCGGAGGCCTCTTTCAGCCCTTACACAACGCATATTATCGCCATACGTAACAAGCAATGCAGGAATAGGGGAGACACCGTTTGTTTTGCTAATGAGCGGGGGCGTACCCAGCAGGCGCTCCTATGTCTGTAGGCACCTTCGCCAGAAGAAGAGAGTTGTTCGAGCATCCGGATTCTCACTTTGGATATCGACGTAGGTGCTGAGAATCGATTAGTCATACATTCCACTTTCGCATGATATTCGCTGACTGAGCTTGTTGCAGTTCCGCTTTGGTGATGAGAAACTCGCAAAAGGAGAAGGGCGGCAGATCGATACTTTTCTCCTCGAACCGGATGTTCTTGAAGAAACTTCACCGGACGTACCCATATCCGCTCGCTTTTACGTGGATTCAATTCAATTTCAAGTCTCAATGTGGAGCGATCTCTCCACTTTTTTTTCCCACCAGTCTTCGAGGACATCTACTCATCGAATGACAAGACTGACCTGAACAAACTTTAGTGCGTCTTGCGTTAAAGGGACAACGAATTCTTACTCATTGCGAATGTCATGACCCAACCTACCCAGATTTCTCATCCGCGAGCTGCCACTGGGTCAATATAGAGGCCTATGCAAGCTGTTCTTTGTTTCAAACTCAAGACTTGTTGTGGTTCCGCGTTTGTTGTCTATTCGTGAGTCAACAGCCTCATCTTAATGATATCAGCTCTGAATATTTAACGTAGTTTTGAGCAGTTGATTTTCGTCTCTCACTGCTCAGTGGCTTTTGCCTTAGACCAGTGGTTCCCAATCTTTTTTTTATTTGCGGCACACATAAGAACACCTGAACATTCCACGGCACACCCAGCCATTTACTTACTTTCAATGGGAAACTTGTGCTTGCTTCGCTGAACCCAGCAGTTGGATACGAGGCGTGACAGTGCAACTCTCAGCTCGTTTTCCACTGACAGATGGTTCTCTTGTTTTTAAGTGATTTTAGTTTTAGGTTTTTGGTTTTTTTGCTGTAAACTCTCAAAGCTCACGGCACACCTAAGCCTTACTGGCGGCACACTGCTTGGGAAACACTGCCTTAGACTATTGAAAATCTGAAGAAGGAAACTGTGATTTTATGGAACTTTTCATGGAGCACAATGCAAAAATTCTTCTATATTATTTGAAAAGCTGCATCAAATAATCTGTGCCATGTTAAAGTTTCATAGCGATTAACTTGGGCGTGGATCCCTGCAATCCGTCTCAGGGCTTCGCCCAAGTTTTAATCGTTTTCTGTCAATATTCAATATCGTCCCGGATATGCAAGGTGAGTAGTGGGTGGAATCCACCCTGTCTAACAGTCTTGGAGAGGGAAAAAACACAGTTATGTTGCGGAATATGACAATTTATTCTCTCTATCACTTCCCACCATAAATATTCATCCACATCCCATCAATGGCAATAATCTGTTCCCTCTAGGTATGTACAACGATGGGACCGAATAGATCCAACTGGTTTGACTTAAAGATCAGTGCCTAAGGAAATTTTTTGAAGTGGCCCTCTGTCCGTTGAAGCTTTTGAAATCTTAAGTAAAACTTAAAATTAATGTGGCGTGTTTCACTGTGTTACATACCGGAAGCACGAAAGCAGTCAATCCCTTGAAATGGTGACACCTACTTCTTCGACTCTCCCCAAAGCGAAAAAATGGACCACGATGGGACGAGGAAGACGTGTGATACAAGTTCTTGAGGAACTGTTCAAGATTAACGATCTTTACATGTTCACGCAAGTTAAGCTCTCCGGAGTAGCATGCAGGGAATTGATTTATTCTGCTTTCGTACAGCCTAGAGATGTTGGCCTCCAATCACAGATGACAATGCGCGGAATGTGGGAAGGAATTATTTAAGCCTCTTCATTGTTGTAGTTCTCTGCAAGGTGTCTCAGCCAGTCCTTCAACCTGAAAGAAGTTTCGAGACAATGAGTCAACCAATATTTTCTTCAATTTAAAATTTTTTTATTTCTCCGGAAATGATCTAGAATGAGTAGTTGAGTAAAATAAATTCCATGCAAACTAGATCAGGTTCTGAAAAGAAGTAAGTCAAACAGCTCAATAGGCGACTTTCTTGCTCAGGAACAAAAAGAGTCCTCATCATTTTACTTTCAAATGTAACGTTTGTGCTACAGCAAGACTATTCAGAATAAGTTGGATTTTGAAATGGACTGGTTCCAGCCGGGAGTTGACGGAAGGAAGCGCCTGAGTGCTGTGAGTGCATATGAGCCCTGCCATTCTACAGGAGCTGGAGCCCCTCGCCCATTTTCGAGTTCCTATTTCTTTTGAATGGTCTGTACTGAATGCTACCTTGGTGTAACGGAAAGAATATGCATTAAATATTCATAAGAACAGCTCTACTAAATGCAGAGGTGTGTATGAAGGTTAAAAGTCAAGGGTTTCTTTTGCCAAGAAGAAATATGCGACTCGTAACATGCTCCGTCTTTAACGAAACAGGAAATGGAAGAGGAGAATCATGCTCGAAAATTACCAGATAGTTAGCATAGTTTGCGGCGTTTGCACTCGATCTTGAAAGTCCGGCTCATCCGGGTCGTCTTCCTCTTCCATATATGCCCGTCCGAGAGCCTGAGGTTCGTCGTAGTTGAAGTCCTGGGTCTTTTCCAGGGATCTTCGAGTGCTCCGCCCGGAGATGAGCGGGTAGCTCCGGAGCCTCCGATTCCAGCTGATCATGGACATGGGTCGGTAGAAAGTGCCGTGGGCGTGGGGAAGCCACCCCAGTCGAGCGATCGAGCCCAGGTGCCTCTTCTCTCGAATTTTCTCCTCTTCATCTGCACGGAGTGTATTCAACTTCATGATGTGTGATGCGGCATTTATATTAGATTGGATATGGTTTTACCCAGTCATTTTCAACTGCTAGGTAATCCTATCAACCGCAAGATGAGTACATCTGTTTCAACTATTTTGAAGGTATTACCCAAGAATATATATATATATATATATATCTGTATATATCTTTTTTAATAGAAGCATAACTGTGATGTCCCTCCCAGCCAAAGCCACCCCACGGTAACAGACAGGAAATGCCCTGCCTCTAGCCCAGGAGAAGAGGGCAGAAAACAATTGAATCCCAGAACCATACTATGGCGAAATAGCCTGCAAAGTTGGGACAAAGCTTAAGAAAGTTATAAGAAAGAACGGATAGCGAAAGATCCCATCCTAGAAAATTGTCAGGCAGCCTGCGTCATCAGGGGGTTAAGGCCACAAGTCTCACCAAACGAACCCTACCCAGAACATGTCTACTGCCAGGTGCTACGGCTATGGAATTGAACAGTTAGACTATACCTAATGCCTCAGAGGCAATCACGGCTTAAGTCTGTCTGTCAGTGCCACAGTTAACGATCGATTAGCTCGATCAGCCTCGCGACTGAAATGCATGGTAGACTCAAGCCTATGAAAGATTTGCTGAATTGGCCAACCACTTTTTATATCTACGTCCTTTATTTATTTATGTATGGATAAATTAAATGTATTTTAACGTTTACGTCATCCCCGGGAAAATGCGCCTGGAAGGAGAAAAGTCCCTCTGTAAATTTGTAAACTCGTCAGAAGACGGTTAATGTCTTCTTTCCTTCTCGTTCATGTACAAGACAGGCTCCATTGCGGTATGAAAACGAATCGCTGAAAGAACGGTAAAAGAGTGAAATATTAAGAGGCAACCTAATTAAAAATCCAAATTAGTTCTGGGAACTTGTTTCTATGCTCTCTCTTGTCAATGGAAGCCATAAAAGTCGAGAAAATCAGCTAGCATAAGTCATAGAGACGCCTACAGGCCGTGGAATACGCTAATCGGTCCCTCCGACTCGCCGACGCTGTCCTTGCTCGTACCGCAGGGGGAATACTAAGCCTTTAAGGCTATCGATAGTATGGCCTTTAAACAATTACCTGCTGTTAAAAATTGCAGCATGAAGTAACCCTTACGAAAAGATCCTATAGGATCCGGTGAGATTTTTGAAACATAAACATCTTATAGGATTCTTATAAGAATCCCATAGAGTTCCTTTAGGATCCTATAGGAATTCTATGAGATTTTTATGTTTCAAAAATCTTATAGGATCCTATTGGATCTTTTCGTAAGGGAAATGCGAAGGGGCAGCAAGCATAGAGAAGAAAACTCCAACTGCTTGTGCGGTTACCCACACACACAGCGTCGAGGAAACTCTATTGATTGGCAAGGCGAATGTTCTTGACACGTTCTCATTCCCTGTCTCTTTCTCCGATACTCAAGTGGTCACGTCTCCAGCGGGCGGCCAGCGAACTGATTCACGAATTAGATCCTTTTCAGGCGAATTCCTGCAATTTTTTGCCTTCGTGACCTTGGATTCCTCTCGCCCCATTCTAGTCAGTAGTTCCAAAAGTTCGCTGAGGCGTAAAATCATTTCTTGGGAAGACTACTTCTCGAAAGGAAAGACGGATGGGAGAAAGAAAATTGCCGACAAAGGACGTAATATCTGATGTAAGAGGGGAAGGGATCATTTGGGGCATAATTGCTTCTCCCGTCCCATTTCAATGGAGGAGATGACCTTTTCTTGTCGCCCTTTGTCCCTTTGTGTCTTAGCTTTGACCCGACTAATGCTCGCTATCTACTCTCTCCAGGTCTTATTTCTTCATTGATCCCTTGCTCCTTATGAAACAAAACTGATGCAGTTCCATTACGGAGAGCGCAGATGCTGCATTCTGCCCGGGGAAACCTCATTCCACTAACTTCTCTTTTGCTCCTTTGAAGGCAACTGGAGCGAGGCGAATCGTCTGCATGTCATTTATCACTTCGTCATTCAGGTCGACTAGCATGAATTCGGGTTAAGGTTTTTTTTTTTCTCGGCTCAATTGCGACGCGGCCTAATCAAGTCCTCGATCGTCTTGACTTCTTAGATATTTCACTCTTACCTCAAATTAAACTGACATGATAAGTCATACATAGTCTCTTTCTCTTCTTCAGTTGTGTCGCATGTTGTATCCGGATATTGCCATACTTGTAATATGGCCCCTTTTACCTCTGGAGGACCAGAGAGAAAGAAAATAACCTGACCTTTGATATCTGTTAAATGCATTATGTTGCTCAGCACGTTCTGCCTCTTGATTAGCACCACCAGCCTACGCTTACGCGATGAGTATGACAGGCACAATCTTTGGGACGGGTATTGTTCTTTTCAAAAATACAGCGGAAACTACGGGAAAAGTGGCATACTTTCATTTCTAACACGTGTAGACCAGTCCATTTTAGCTTGGAAGTCAGGATAGCCAAAAATTTGCGAACGCAAAACTAGTCATGCACTCGCATGAAAAAAAGGCCAATGGACTAGTTCGCTCAAAGCTTTTGTGTTGCTTCTCTCTGCAGTAATATTTGGCATTTGCGAAAAAATCATATCTCTAGTGATTAGAAATTAATTCATATGTACCGGGTGAGGAAAAAATCGCATCACTCCTTGAAACAGTCGCGTAACGAGAAGCCTACATTTCTTTCATTCCTTATCAAGAGATTCTTGCAGAAATCTTGCCCCGTCCTATCCTTTCGCAAAGAGCTGCATTTTTGTAAGCAGACGGAGGAGCTAAGAGCCGAGATTGGTGCGCTGAAAACATTCGTTTTCCTCGCGCAAGTCAAGCTGCCTTTCCGTTATCGCTCGTCTGCTACAACGGCTGGAGAAAATTGAACAAGAACTTTAGGACGTTTCAAGGATGCGTAGAAATTGTTGCAAAGAAAAAATATCGTCGTGCTATCCGCTATATCCTCAGCTCCAAAGAATCTCGAGGAGCAGCGCATTTTTTCATTGCCTCACCAGGTATATATATACCAAGCTTCTGGTTCGCATTAGCCCCACCACGAGAGTCTGTGTCCTTGAATATTGACTTAAAGGTAGAAGAAGTTTATTGGGTGCGTGGGACGGAGAGCATTAACAGTGAGCGGAGTTCTCGGGGGAGCCATAAGTTTAAAGGGGGAATTTCATTTGGAGGTGTCACGAGAGTGAAAAGTCATAAAGGGCCAAGCAAGATTGATCTCCCACCTTGTTTCATTTCGTTCAGGCTTCGTTTGACTCTCACTCGATCCGCGAGGGCATAAGGGAGGAATCCGTATCTGAAGGCAGCTCCGACGTGTTTCTTTTCCATCTCTCGTTGGCCATATCGTCCGTGAGATCTCGGGAAGTCCCTCATGCCCATCAGGTCCATGTTGGGACTTGGAAAGCCAGATCGAAACGCAGCACCAACGTGGCGCTTCTCTTCTTCTGGGTTTCCTGGATCTCTTTTTCCTTCAGGAAACATCGCTCGATAGCCCGAACGAAATGCAGCTCCAACGTGACGCTTCTCTTCTTCTGGGTTCTCTGGTTCTTCTCTTTTCTCTTCTGGGAGCATTGCTCGATAACCAGATCGGAATGCAGCACCAACATGGCGCTTCTCTTCTGGGTTCTCTGGTTCTTCACTTTTTTCTTCTGGAAGCATTGCTCGATAACCAGATTGGAATGCAGCTCCAACATGGCGCTTCTCTTCCTCTGGGAGCATTGGTCGATAACCAGATTGGAATGCAGCTCCAACATGGCGCTTCTCTTCCTCTGGGAGCATTGCTCGATAACCAGACCGGAAAGCAGCTCCAACATGGCGCTTCTCTTCTTCTGGGAGCATTGCTCGATAGCCAGATTGGAATGCAGCTCCAACATGGCGCTTCTCTTCCTCTGGGAGCATTGCTCGATAACCAGATCGGAAAGCAGCTCCAACATGGCGCTTCTCTTCCTCTGGAAGCATTGCTCGATAGCCAGATCGGAAAGCAGCTCCAACGTGGCGCTTCTCTTCCTCTGGGTTTCCCGCTTCCTCTCTTTTCTCCTCTTGGAACATTGCTCGATATCCCGATCGAAACGCAGACCCAATGTGGCGCTTTTCCGCCTCCAAGAAATCCTCATCTGAGTGACGAAGCATTGGATTACAACCAATAAGTAAAAACAGGTCTGGCACCCTCTAAGCACTCCTGCTTACAATCCTCCATATAAAATGAATAGGGAGCACTTGGAGGGTATCAAGCCTATTTGCAGGGTCGGGAACGAGTTTTTTTCGATGGTACATTTGCAAAAGAAAAGATTAAAAGATATTTATGGTATATAACATGTTATGTATCATATCTTCCGATCAATATCTTCCTATTATTCTGTTTTCAATAATGCCTAGCCTCTTTAACTATAATTAGGGCGTGACCTTATTTTTTTTTTAGCAACATCCGTTGTCAATTGTTCGAATAATATGTCCCTTCTGTTCTGAGATTATGCAATTCCTATTGTTTCGTTTTTTCATAGTACAGCATATTCTTGAGGATACTTATTTGTGTTTTTTTTCTCCCTTATTTCATACGCCTAAAAATGTTTCGTTTCTAAGTCGTCTGTTTATTGCCTATTCAAAAATGTGTCTCTATTTCCATTGCAGAGTGTCTGACCTTGCCGTCGGTATCGGCGTAGAAGCCAGGGTCTGAATCTGGAGAGCGGGAAGTTCTCAGAGGTGTCAGTGGCCTTGTCAGATGGATAAAGGACCCTTCCGGAGGGGAGTCGATGGAACCGTTTCTCCATTTCCGATCCCCCGTCCCCTTTCTCCAGCTCCCCCACAACTGCCGCCACCATCATCAATCCCTGCAGTAAGGGTAAAAAAAGTTTGTCCGTGACACCATGAAACGGTCTGTCGATGATGGCTTCGGAGAACAAACAAAAAACAAAGAAACCGCGACGTCCTGTGCAGGAGGGCCATATTACATTATACGGGAACTTATCCTCCTGCATTGAATGGAAAAGGCAGACGGCACTCGACAGATTGAGTGTGGATAAAGGACAAAAAAGGTCTCGAAAGATGAAAAGACCTTTGAGAGTATTGGAAGGATCTAATCTGAAAGTGCACTAGATAGAGGGGTCCTCCATCCTCTGAGGAGAGAGCCTGTAGGCCCCTAAGAAATCCGTCTGCGGCGGGAAATCCTCCTTCTGAAAGCTCAGGTCGATATGAATGCTCAGCAGAGAATTATTTGCAATTATTGCCCACCGTCGAAAGGTTCTAGTTCTTTTTGAGTTAATCTCCTTCCAACATCTCCAGCACGATTATATATTAATTAGAGATGGGTTTCCTAGACCATAAACACTTATTTTTGAATCGTGATTATCCCCCATTGAATAAATTGCAAGATGTCTTGATTTCTGATGATCGCGCAAGCGAAATTCCGTGCAGTAAATTGGGTATATATCAAGGGTAGAGCGAAACGTTCGGGATGTTTTTAAGGTGGCAGAAGCAAAATAAAAATATGCACCCTTGCTGCTTGAAACAACAGGTGATATTAGGCTATAATAGGCTTCCATCCCCTTCCCATCTCGTTTGAAAAATTATTAGATCGTTATTAGGAAGTTTTTCTGCTTCACGGAGGTGTGCCAATCCTCTCCCTGCGAGTCCAGCGACGCCCCGCGGCGCTTCCGGGAATCCCATGGCGATCAGGTGATCGATCATCCATGGATCATCCATGGACCATCCATGAACCGGCTTTAGAAATGCATCACCTGCGAGCCATGCATCGCTACGGGCACGTCACATTTCTATGCGAGACAAACATCTCAAACCAAATCCATCTAGCTCCGGCATCGAATCCCACCAGAAAAAAAAAAACGCGGTACCTCAAGCATTCGACCGACTTCGGAAATGCACAAGAAAATGCCTCAATATCGAGTGGTCAAAGGGTAAAGCCCATGGTGCATCGGCGACCCTCAAATGGAATTGAAAAACTTTTCGTCGGCGGCCCGGCCTCATCCCTTCGAGACTTCAGCAGGCTTTCGATTCCGAGAAAGAGACTTCAGAATAACCACGATTCCCAGGATATCCGTGTATTCACGGAAAATTTGGGGTTTCGGAATATCGCGTCGGTCGAGTTCCAGCTGCGTCGTTGCCTCTCCAGAAAGAAACGAATTCACGAGAAGAAACAGCGTACCTTCATCTCGTATTCCCAGAAAAATTAATGTCGTAGCAAGCTGAGATTACACAAGAAACAAAGCCGACACCGCGATGTCCTTCATTTGTAGAGTAATCCGAATACAATCATGGGTCCTTGTAATAGGATTAATTTTCAGCATTTTCTTTCCACCAGTTGATTCCTTCGCGCAACCGCAAGAGACGCGATTCGGAGCGAATCGGCGAGTTTTTGTCGCAAGTGTCCTCACGAAGGGAAATTTATTACCATCGTAGCGAAATAACGTTACGCGATGTGCGACGTCGCCAATCCCGTCCCAAGGTCGAACGGAATCCACTCGCGATTGTGGTTCCGATCCTTGTTTCCCTTCCGGGTTCGAGTTGGCACCTAATTTGGTTTATCGGGAGCTTGTGTTTGTCTAATCACGATGCGGGAGTCAATACCGAGCAGAGGAAGCCCCAAACGCGTGTCTCAAGATTATGTGTGCGAACGGGAGAAGATCGCGCTGGCAGAAATACAAACGCCGTTCGGAAAAGTGCTGAGTGTGTTCCGCCGACGATGAGATAGAAGTGGGACAGAGTGAGTATATATACATTCCCACCGATAATATTTATTTTCTGAGGGGGTTGACTTATCTTGGATTGTGTCGGGTTAGGAAGAGCGCCCTCGACTCGAGACGTCACACGCTTCATGACGTAATGGGCCTTTGATCTTGAACTTGGACCTTGAAATGACACACATACCGTCGAACTCGGGAAAGCTCATGTTACGCCGGTCGTGCTTAGCATTGAGCATGATGAGGTCCATCTAGACAGCTGATGCTCAGCATGCGGCACATCCTCCTCTTCCGAAACCGCGAGATTTTTGCATTCCTATAAGCTTCTGTCGCTTCCTCGGTGGTTGCGATGCTTTGCGTCGGGGAAGAAAGATTGATCGCGAATTGATTTTTGGTACGCCCGAAGGCGTTCGTCTTCTGTCATGACTTCTTTGCTGCCGGAACATTCAAGGCCGCTCCCGAGTCATAATTTCCACTTCCTTCAAATTCATTCACAATTTCCCCCCTATTTAATCACAATCTGGCGAAGCACCGCGACTCGTTCACGCAAATCCGCGAGGAGTTTAAAAACCCTCTGCTCTTGTGGAATTCCTCGAACGAAAGGGAATTTTTATCTCCTGTCGCATCAGAGCCGAATCAGGAGAAATTGATGGTTGGAATTTATAATAATGTCCCCTGGGATTGGAATTTATAATAATACATGAGTCGCCTCAATATCAGTCACTCGACGTCATCCCCCAACGTCATTAAGCTGATCGATTTGCTCAATATTACAGACTTGCACTATGTAAGAAAAGGATTGGAAAGTCATCAGGCGTAAGCCTACCGGATAGCCCCTCCTCCCCCTCCATAGCCTAAACTATTGGAGCTAGGAAAACATTTAAAAATATATTTGGAATCCTTATTCAATTTGAATCTATTTTTCACATTTTGTTTTCTTTTCTGAACTTAAATTCATTGATCGCATCCTTGCTATCACGTTTCAAGTTCATGATGCCGGAGCTGAATTCGTCACCCGTTCATGGGTTTCGAAAAAGATTAAACGCTCAGGTTCTGTCTGATGAAGCCCTATTTTTCAGAGCTTCGACCACACAGCAACAGCTGAACATCGGTGTCATCTCGAAAGTCCGCGTCGAATCTTCAACGCAACACGGAGCGCAATCAGCACGGATCCCCCCGGGAAAAGCCTCGCGAAGCGACACCGCCCGAGTGTTGGAGAACGCGGAACTCTTTTTAAGCGCCTCTTTTCATCTTACTCCGCTTGTCTTGAAGCTGTCAGAGACACGGCCAGGGTGCATGCAAATTACGAGAAGTACATGTTTAGATTCGAAAATGAATGCTCTTTCTATTTAGCTATAGAGAGGCTTACATGCTCTGATTACACATCATATTCGGAGAAAATAGGACAAGGTTGGGCCTGTCAGATTCGTGTCAAACCGACATTTGATATGTCGATCCCCTCAAGAGATCAACATATTGAATGTCGGCTCGACTAAATATTTTTTCATTTCCTCTGTTCGGATTTTTCCTCCCGCTCGCTGCACCGAAGAACCCATTTGAGACGTCTTCTTCGATTTAGAATCTGTAGACCAGCAGAGCCGGACAGGATTGCACGGAGTCAGTTAATTGGATTAACTCTTAATGGTTTTTCGGACGAGGGACCAGTGTGATTTGATTTCATCGGAGGGAGCAGTTTTTATGCGGAACTTAAAACCCATGCGGATCCCGGAGAACGAGACAAGACAAATGACGGTTATAGCGAGACAAATGACGGTTATAACGAGAAGAGACGACTGGCTTACGAGGCGGGAACGAGGCGCATCCTGATCATCAACGCTAAGTCGTGATAATGGATGTATAATGGATATGGATAATTTCTCTCCTTCCGTCTCTCGTCAGTCAAACTTGCAGGCAATCTTTTCGTTGCATGCACCTCATATTTTTTTATTTTTGTCTTTCTTCGTCTTCGTACCTCGACTCCGACATTTTATTGTTTAAGGCTCGGGCTAAATGAACCAAAACGTAATCTTTCCCTCCGTTTTTCTCTTTCCTCCTTCATGATGAAAGGAGAATCGAAGCCGGAACGACATCGATCACTCGGACAGCCCGATCGATTTGCTGGCCGAGTCGGGGACGGAGACGCTCGAATTAGAATGAGAGCGAATGAGCTCGAGAAGCATGCGAGATGTATTTTATGAGACTATGGAACGTATGCTGAAATTAAAAAGACGAAATTCGTCGCGGTGGACGAACAGAAACGTTCCTGGATCGTGGCAGAACTTGTCTCCATGGTTTTTATTTTTTGTCTTGCCGAATAGCGGTTTCACGTTTATGCGGCAACGGAAATTCTGTGCTTCCTAAATGAGAAATTTCCTTTGTAAAAGGTGAGGGGCCACCGACTTCAATCGTGTTTGGAACAGCAATCGAGCGAATTCATCGACGTAACCTTTCCTGTCGCCGTTTCGCATTCTCGTGGCATTTACTCCAAAGCGCAAAGGCTGCTCTCGGTTGGCTACTCTAAACATTCCTGTTAGGTTAATCGAAGTCGTGAATGTTGCCGGGTCATGTGAGGGGAAGTAAAATGCCAAGGCAAAGTTTGGACAAGCACTCCGCGTCGAAGTTTTATCGATATTCATATGTTTCGATGGCTTTCGTTCTGGTGGATTGCAGCAAAAACCGACTGAGGGACGGAAAATCGTCTGTACGATTCAAACGAGCGGAACAGGCGCGACTTTGCCTTCGTCATGTGATGCCACCATTCAATGATTTTCCGTTTTTGTTTAAATTCAGGCATGGTGATGGCGGTTACGTCTGACAAAACCCCCCACACCTGAATGTAAAATAAAATGTTTTTTCAATCACGTGCGATCAACCAACGCCAATTACAGCCATCTGAAAACAGGGCATTAAATTTTTTTTTTTTAGGCAGGGTATCCATGCCCTCAATGAAGCCCTTTTCCCTTTACTAATCCAGCGGGCCGCGGTTTTAAGTCGCTCCGAGTCCTCATCCCCACACTCCAGGGAATCCCTTTCGATTAGATTAGATTTGATTGGATCGAACCGGATCAAATCGACAGGTTCGCGTAAGCGAAAAATTTCAGCCTCAGCAATGCTGAGTCACGAGTTGATTGTAG